GGGCCATCCAGACAGTTTTTTACCCATCGATGAGTCCACCTGTCTAAGCTGCGAGCATCCAATTTATTTAGGAGGATGCTGTGGGAGACAGTGTCAAAGGCCTTACTAAAGTCTGGGTAGACAACATCCACAGCCCTTCCCTCGTCTACCAAGCGAGTCACCTTGTCATAAAAGGAAACCAGATTGGGTCAAGCATGATCTTCCTTTCATCAATCCATGTTGGCTGATAAATCCATGTTGGCTGGCCCTGATCCCCTGATTTTCCTGCATGTGCTGTGTAATGGCACTCAAGATGATCTGTTCCATAACCTTGCCTGATGTACGAGGTGTTAACATTACTCTGGGAAAATAAGCCGACGTTTGTAATGTGTACACACATGTTCATTAGTTAATATAGACTTGTATGCCCTCAGAGCTTGGTCTTTGGGATTCTTTGTCTGAATGATCGGACTCTGGAACCTGTCTGAGTTCCCCAGTTTAGCTACATGTCCCTGCCCCATCCCATGCTCGTATCAAGGTGAGACTCAGAACATCACCATCCTTTCTGCACCCTGTGCCTCAGCTTTCTGTAAGGTGCACAGCCCAAAAGGGTGGTGAACCTACCCAATACACCAGAATACAAACTTTCACTCAATTTACGTAGTAGCTTTGTGACTCCAAGCTACCAGTCTGCTCCTTTTTACAGCTCCAGGATTAGGTTACCATTTCATTCTCATTGCCAGGAGAGACATTCCAAATATAAGTTATTCTTTTACCTAAGCTCAGGAGGGTGAGGTGTTGGAAATATTAATAGAGCTTCCATTATCTTCTAACAAAGATTTGTCATGTCAGTACTAATTTATACAGTTCAGCAGCAAAAGCTCCTAATGATTCTGTGGACAAAAAGGAATTATGTACTGACATGTACTTTAATTTAATAGCATTAACTCTAGGAAAAGCAATTTTTTGAAATTTTACCCTTAAGCTGTAGTCTCATCTCTCTCCTATTGCATATTCTGTTTTAAAGAAATGTACTGTTTTGTAGTTTTAAAATACATTTAACTCTCACTAACATAGTGTTTGGACATCTGCCAATTCCACTTTGGAATTTCAACTGATAAAGAGGGTAGCCAACAAGTAGGTGCATATTTGTTATAAATCCAGGGATAGGCTTTGTCATCTTAGATAAGATGAGACAGATACTGTTTGTATGTCGTCTTCTAGCTTATAACTAGAGAAATGTGAATAGAAGAAAAAACTTTTTCTTTCGCAGACTTAGTTTTTAAAAGGTTATCTTAAACCTCATTTTTCAGTTTGTTTTCAATACAACACTGATTTTAATATGGTGTAATTCAATTGGAAGCATTAAATTGTGTAATCATGAGTTCAGTTTTTAAAATTACATTGGCAATTTTATTTCTTGCAATTTTCAAGTCTCCTTCAAATGTGTAAGCAAAAAACACAAAAAGCAGATTAGAATCTCACTGCAGTGAGACATCTGTGGATTCTTCTCTGTTTCTTCTTAGAAAACTTTGCATTCTGACATAAATAGTTTGGGTTTGAATTTCAAATAAGCATGCATGAATGTTTGACTTTTGACTTCCAAAAAAGCGTGTACCAATGTTTATGCATCAGTCTTCACAGTAATCTGAAGTGTTTAAACTTTAGAAGGATGGATCTTGTGGGTATTTAAATATTCTTTGCCTGCAGTTAAATGATAGAAGTTCAATAAGTACAGTTTGCATATGGCTTGAAAAGGTTTTTTCCTAGGTTCAGTCACACATAACGCAAATCACTGGCATTTAGTGAATTGTAGCTTGCGGTAGAAATGAGGAATGTTACCTCTTTAACTATAAGCTAACTGTGTCACATATGCAGTAAGCATGAAACACACAGTGGACTAATGGGACTTGTTATTGATGATGCTGAAAGCTAAATAACCATTAGTATTAAATCTTATGAATAGACTCTTGTCTTTCATCTTACCTCTTCAACCAGATAAAAGACACAGAGGCTATTTAGATGTCATAAGAATAGTTTGTTGAAATCCCTCTGGACTTACCAAAAAAAAAAAAAATCTCTCTCTTCATGTTGCTTAGTGTTTTGTTGCGTTCAAAGAAATGCCAGTATGCTAGTGCTGAAAGAAGAATAAAACAGAAATCCAGCATTATGTGTGGGTTTAGGCTTGTTAAAGATGCTGTTGAGTTGAAATAATGTGCATCCTTTTTCTGCAGAAATCTCTTCATCAGACTTAAAAAAATATGTAGAAAAGTCTCTAACACTGAAAATTTGCAAGAAGCCTTGTAAGACCGAATTATAATAAAACACTGTGCATGTTTCTATTTTTCTAGTTTCATTTCTTAGATTATCGTGAACGTTTCTAAATGGCTGTAACAAATTAGAAATAGCTGACTAAAAACTTTTGTACAAAGAGGTTAACTTTATTTAAAGCCTCTATTCACCTAAGCATAAAGGTTTTTAAAGATTTAACTAGCAACCTTCTCAGTTCTAATAATAAAATACACTGAAGGTGGTTGTAAATTGTATTCATCTTTCATACAGAATATTTAGATGCAGAACATATAAATACATGGTTACCTTGTTGATGCGGAAGAATTATTCAGCTCTGAAATCCTGTGTGATAGCTTTGGGAACAATAATTAAATTGCAAGTATCTCTTGAGAAATTCTAGTTCACGTAAATATTTCTAGATTTGTGGTGAGTAGATATTAATAATCATACAATGCATAATAATTAATACTTTTTTTATTTTATAGGGAGCAGAACTGGAAAGCTGCGGTGTTGATACCATGTTGCTGGTACATTTCTTTGGAAAAGAAGGAAAGGAAAAACTTCACTATTCTGAGTTTTTCAGGTATTTTTTCAGCTAGGCAAGCCTAACAGCAACCAGTCCCGTTCCTACCCCTCTGCTTTGTACCAACACTGGCATTAATCTGACCTCACACAGAGCTGATTCAGAAGGTTAAGCAGGTAACGAAGGAGGAGATTATTCATGATTTTGCATGATTAAATTTCGAGTTTAGCTCTTGGAGTCTGCTGTCTGCAGGAGGAGTTGAGCACCATGATAACTGCAAAGCAGCAATGGGCCTGGAGGCCGTGAGGGTTGAGACTACCATCCGTGGCAGCTGTGTGATGGCATACCTTAAGACAGGGTGATTCCTGAGTACTTTTCTTGATCAAATTACCAAAAAAGTGACTGCTAATCAATTAAAATAGCTTTCCTGAGCTGAGACACGCCCCTTCCCATTACAACTGCCATGGTAGGCTACAGACAACTTCTCTGCTTGCTTCAAATTCCAGCTTCTGTTGAAACTATTCCTGTGCCTTTTCCTTTACCCTTTGAACTACTTTTGCAATGGGACTATGCAGATGCTTCGTGGCACTTATGTCAGAACTGAGAATTGAGCCAGATGGTGAATACCACATCAGACTGAAACTGCAGTGGAATAGCAAGGGGCCATTCCTCCTGGAAGCATAGTGCTGGATACCCATCTATTTGACCGAAAGCTTTGCAAAATCTGAAGGTAATAGAAAGCCCTAAGACTGGTAGGGGATCATTCAGTTTATACATCATATACATGTCAGAAAGATGGTGTAATCCTTGTTGATATCAGACTATTAAGTTCTGTTGTGGTCACTTTCGACTTGAAAACCCAACGGGGTATCAGCTGTTAGTGTTTTAATTGGATGAAATTCTTTTCCAATGTTTGTTTCAATCAATAATGATGACCTCCACCTACAAAGCATCACCACTTAACTGGTTAAAACTCTCTGTTACTTGGGAGATCAGTTTCTCCTGTCAGTATGAACTCCAGATACATCTTGCTATATGAACTGAGGCCCAGAATACAAATGCAGAGTCTTTCTTTGAGATCAATGGAAGTTAAGTGCCTCAATACCTCTGTGAATCTTGGCACATGTCTTCCAGCACAACATCAAGAGAAGATTATGGACGTCAGTATTACCTTTTCTACAAAAATATTCACTGATTTACAGACTGCAAAAATAAATTAGGATAATGTGGTTTACTTCAGTTTATGTTCAGAGGCAGAGAATCTATGTCAGCCCTCTTAAATGAATGTTGTCGCAATCCATAGAGGTTTGGGGAAGGCCAGAGTAGAAAAGGAAGAGTGGCAATTTTTCTAACACTAAGAAGCGTTCGGCTCCACTGGCTTTGGCACACACCGGCCTTCAAATAAACAACCTTTCTCTTTTGAAGACCTCGACTCAATAGTAATCTAAGTGAGTGAAACACATTTAAGATGCCTCCAGCTCCCTTTTCTATAAATACCATAGATCCTCTCAATGAAACAAAAGGCAGAGAGCACCAGTAAAAGGTTGTGTTTGCATATACAGTGTAAACCGAAAAGCCTCAGGTTGTAGATAAAATCCTGCATTGACCCAATGAGGCATGACATTGATGAAACTATGTACCTAGTACATTCATACCGCGTAGGTTAAGGACCTTTGCCTACCACACAGATAGAGGCCTGTAATCAAAATCAAACTCCCACATCTTGCTCTTAAAATTTGTGGGATAAGTGTAAGGTTTAATGCAGGTAATTTTTCAACAGTGGCAGTTATGTTTCATAGAGCTGGAATGTGCCTCTTTATCACTGTGCAGACACTCCATCTCAGTTGCAACATGACAGTGAAGTTTGTTTAACACACGGAAAGGTGAATAAAAGGATCACTGTCTTTTTAACCTCTGTGAAGATATCACCTTTCACATGATTTTATTTGCAAGTAAATCAAGCACATCATTTCTGGGTTCCTATTGTTCAGAGAAAATGTGATTTCTATCTGATGGCCTCTCATAACATTTTACCTTACGCGGGAAGCTATTGTTGGCTGTTTGATCAAAGTGCCACGCTGTTTTTACAAGAGATGACGGATGAGCTGTACAGACATAGATCATTGTCAAAAGCAGAAAATAATGATGGTAAATGCTTTTATCATTTTCCAAGTTCTTGCCTAGAAAGCTTTTCCATTGATCAGTGTAGTACCTAGTATAAAGTAGGGGTGATTAGGTTTGATTAGGACACAGTAGAAGTTGTCACATTAGTTAAATACACAGATAACTGCTGCGCTGTAGAGTCCTTGAAACAAACCAACAAAAAAAGGCAGGAATG